CCCCCAGAGCAATCCCTTGTCCCTGCCATGGGTGAAAATACCTTCCCAAGCCGCAGCGAGGAGAACTAGAAGCAGCCAAAGTCTCATTGTCCCTGTCGCTGAAGGGGGAAGTTCTCCGGGGACTAGCTGGTCACTGCACAGACCCAGGGGCTGCGGATTGTCCCTGCCGGTGCAGCCTGGGCAGCAACAGGGACAGATTTAAACAGGGTACTCTGCCCCTATTTGCATATCCCATCTCTGCGACATATAAAAGCTCCTCACTGATCGAGCCCAGGTCACCGGTCCGGGGATTCAGACAGGGCAGGAGGGAGCGAGGGAGGAACCCTCAGGGAGCAGTGATCTCCCCTAGGATCCTGCCTGGCCAGGCCCGGTTCCTTGCTCTGTCACAGACTCCCTGTGTCCCCCGGGACAAGGCACCTGGTGCCGGATTGTTCTAGGTATCGAGGTGTCAGGAGGGATTTACTGAAGCACCCAGGTGACCAACTCCCATAGATGTGCGGGGGCCAGAACACGCCGATACAAGAAAACCTCGTGAGCGTCCCCGCTGGAGATCCTGCCTGGCCAGGCCCGGTTCCTTGCTCTGTCACAGACTCCCTGTGTCCCCCGGGACAAGGCACCTGGTGCCGGATTGTTCTAGGTATCGAGGTGTCAGGAGGGATTTACTGAAGCACCCAGGTGACCAACTCCCATAGATGTGCGGGGGCCAGAACACGCCGATACAAGAAAACCTCGTGAGCGTCCCCGCTGGAGAAGACACAAGGACATCCCTCGTACCGCTCAGGGCAGGGTGAAATGGGGATGCTTGGATCGAACCAGCCTGCGCAAAGAAAAGGGCGGCGGGAATCAAAAGTCGCTCTGCGGAGCTGACAGCCCCGGAGTCCGGCACAGGCTGGTGGCTGGGCACCCGCCCGGGAGGTGCCCTCAGTGCCGGATTCCCCACCCGCCCCCCTTGGCGCTGCCTTTCGAGTCACACGGAGTTTGGGAGCGAGGGGGGATCGCGGCTCTTTGCGTTCCCATTGTCTCAGTGGGGCGGTGAGAATCAGCTTCCCCTTTTTGTACCAGCCCCGCGTTGCTCTGTGTCACTGTGTGAGTGAGGCTGCCGGGCGCAGTAATAGGTGCCGGTGTCCGCAGCTGTCAGCGCGCGGAGCTGCAGCGAGACCTGGTTCCTGGCGGTGTCTGCGGGGAGGGTCGCTCGGCCCCGCAGCGCGCTGTTGTATTCAGTGTTCCACTGGCCAGACCTGTACCACGTGCGCCCCACCCACTCCAGCCCCTTCCCCGCGGGCTGCCGGAGCCAGTGCCAGGCAGCACTGACGGTGGCGATACAGTCTCCGGAGATGGTGCAAGTGAGTGTCCGGGACTCCCCGGGTTTCGCCGCTCCTGGGCCCGTTTCCTGCAGCAGCACTTGGGAGCGGACCCCTGGGAAGGAAACAGGAAATGACGGAGAGAGCCAGGCCCTGTCCCCTGGGAGGCAAGAACATGTGAAATTTAAACATCCTGACACTGCGCCTAAGGAAATGAGGCACCCAACTGCCACGGAATCGCTTTGGAATCCAGGCATCTCATTCCCGTAGGCTGCCTGGAACAGCTCCTCTTCTGCAGACAATTCAGCAGGGACGCCCCGTAGTCACGCAATTGAAGGAGAGGCGCAGAGAGTCTCCGGGCTTCTTCACATCCCCTCCGGACTCCACCAGCTGCACCTGGGGCCGGGCACCTGGAACACAGACCGGTTATCAATATTGGTATCACACAAGAAGAATTTAATATGCTTCCACCTCTGCCATTATTCAGAGGAAGAAAATACCTTCCAAAGCCGCTACAGCCAAAATTACTAGGAACAAAAGATTCATTGTCCTCGGTGCTGGAGGGTAAAATTCTGCGGATTGTCCCTGCGGGTGCAGCCTGGGCAGAGAGAGGCACAAATTTAAACAGGAACCTCTCGCCCCTATTTGCATGACCTGCTGCTTATAACGGAATAAATGAGCCAGCCAATGAATCTCTGGCCCTGACCCCAGTTCTCCGGCTCCCGAACACACACTCACAGCCGGGGGCCGAGAACGGGGAAAGGAAAAGCCACAGAAATTTTTCTCGCTTTCGTGCACTGAGGGAAAC